AAGCGCAACAAGCTCGGCATATGTGGTGTTTCTTCATCTATCCATTGTAGCAAGAGAAATGAAAGGCCAAGTCTGTACACGTTACAGCGACATGTGTTCATGCGTCCCTTTCTTATGTCATGCAATTTCTCGATACCCAATTATCAGGGACAGGAGGTACCAAGTGCGCGGCCAAAAAGAACAGAGATGGAATGTGTGTAACATGCAGTGCACATCATACGAAACGGATTTACTACAGGTCGTTATGAGAAGCGGACCGTGTGTCGATCGCTTCAAACGAGAATGCCGAGTGTCAGGGTTCCGGATATGTCAGCGCCACGCTATCATGTGCTCAGGCGTCAGATCAAGCGCATCGCGTCAGTCTCTCAACCCACGCAACTAACAACACTCTACATGATTCACCAAATTGTATCAACAGCAAGAGTATTAAAGCAGACGGTACGTTGTCGCAACCTTGTTCCCATCATATATCCTAACCAAATGACGTCAGACCTCCCTATTCACGAGAACGACTAACATTCTGTACAAACCTCAAAACATGTCTCTGAGACGCTCAGCTCGCGTTGCAAGTAATATCACGCCAGTACCATTGGATGTCAAAACCCAGGATAGTGTTGCGAAATACGAGAAAGTCAGCAAAGCGAGTGTACCTGCGAAGAAGCGCAAAACCACAAAGGCGCCTGCCAAAACATTACCCGATGCAACCAAGAGCGAAAGTACTACCAACGGAGCAGAAAGCTTGGATTCAGTGAATCCAGCTTCATTCCTCCCAGCAACGCCCCTACCCAAGAAGCGCAAAGCGGTATCGAAGTCAACGTCAGAACCAGAATCGCCACTAAAACCACCATCATTCACACCAACACCTGCTGGTGCCAGCATCTACTCCTCTACGTCTTTGTTCTCTCCCCCTAATCCCACCACTCGACCAGCAGCTCCTCACACCACAAACGCCAATTTGGCCACTCCAAATGGCTCGCACGTGGTGCAAGCCTACGCTTCGTCTCCTGCAAAATCCGCTGACCCTTCGCCTGCCAAGAGGCGAAAAGCAAAAGAGATTGTCCCGCCGGATGTTGGTGCCATCCCCCCCGCGAGCACGGACATCGATAATCTGTTGAAAGACGCAGAGGAGTTTCTTATAAAGACAGATTCTAAATTAGAAAGAGTTGTAAGAGGACACAAGTGTGAGATTTTTAGTCCAGATGGATTGAGAGAAGTAGTGAGGCCGTTCGAGTCGCTGGGAAAGGGGATTATTGGACAGCAAGTAAGTATGGCTTGGTAATACTGTTTGTCATCAGGAAAATAGAGGAGAAATATGCAGAACGAATCGCTGCAGACCATTGTAGAGGAGAAGAGTTTGGACGTATGTGTATGACTAACAATCTACCTATAGGTATCAGGCCAAGCAGCCGCATCAATTCGTGCAAAGTTTACTGCTCTCTTCCCTGAGACACACCCTTCTTTTCCTTCTCCCGCCCAGGTTCTCACCAAAGATATCCCTACATTGCGTACAGCAGGTCTCTCCCAACGCAAAGCAGAATATATCTATGGAATCGCCGAGAAATTCTCTTCCGGTGAGCTCTCCGCTGAGATGCTGGTTAGTGCTAGCGATGAAGAGCTCATCGAGAAGCTAGTAGCGGTGAGAGGATTGGGACGATGGAGTGTAGAGATGTTTGCTTGTTTTGGGTTGAAGAGGATGGATGTTTTCTCGACTGGAGATCTTGGTGTACAGTGAGTTATTCCCTGTTTTGGAGAATTCCTTGAACAAGATGATTGACGTGTTTGCAGACGAGGCATGGCCGTATACGCAGGCCGTGATGTAAACAAGCTCAAGAACAAGGGTGGGAAGTGGAAGTATGTACTCTTCATGTAGTTTCATGTATCGGGCAGTCCACTAAACGCAAAGCAGATATATGACCGAGCAAGAGATGCTCGACATGGCTTCCAAGTTCAAGCCATACAGGTGCGTTTATCTCTACCGCAAACTCTTCTTTACACACACGTTAACCCATCTCCTTGCTGCTAGGTCGCTCTTCATGTGGTACATGTGGCGGATTGCCGATGTGGATCTTACTGTTCTGCAGAAGACTTGATCAACAGGAAGTGACCATTGTGTTGGGTCACATTGGCCCTTGCGGTAGGACAAGCATGTACATCATGTGGTCTATGTGTGGTGGTGGGGTGATGTACTGCTGGGTAGAGGTGGGGCGTGGGTCGCGGGCGGTACAGGCCGTTTCCCCGCTGGGCATAGAACACTTGGTTTATGGATCAAACATCTCGTAGAGTGCCCGTCAACACTTGTGGTTTATTCGATGCACAAGGGTTTGTTGCTCAAATAAAATACCCAGGCAGGAGGTTGTTCTTGCTCGTAGGCGCATGGAAATTGTCATCCGACATCTTTCTGGTTGAATATCGATAACATGCCATACCATTCTGGTATGCTTGGCCTCGAATATCCACAGCAAGTTGGCTTCAAAAGCAGACAATGCCAAATGCATGCTGCCATTGTGTTCCTCTGTTTGGTTGTTTCCATTCGTAAGGGAAATTCATGCTTGCACCCAGCCGAGCGGGACGGCGTTTGCATGACAGCAGCCATCGCTGGCAGCCTGCAACGATCTTAGTGCACCATAATAGTGGTAAGACGACCACATGCGCTAAATAGTTCGTCTTCGGTCTGGATTGTGTTACTCTCTTGCCATTGAGAAGCGCTTTGCCTGATGCTGTGTACAAAGTACTTGTATGTTGGTTTGCATACGACAAGAGAAGAGAACACTCAACGACAGAGGGGTATACAGGTCAGGGGGCGAACGGTGGTTAGATATGAGTTGTGACTGTACGAAATATACGTGGGACATGTGCTGACTTCTTATCCCCACCTCTGCAGTGATACAGAGCACAGGATTGCAAAGCTAAAGTACTCTTCTCGGCAACATCGGATCAGTTTTGATATGTACGAGATGCATACAGCACCCATGTGCACTTCATGGTCTATAGCTTGGCTCATCGCGCTATGGGTGAAGTTTATAGTGAAGCGACTTCGTTAGGTAGTAGGTCAGTTGTTGACCACTAGAGTTTGCGGCTGAACTTACTCAGTTTTCTAAATTCTCCCGGTTGCGGATCTACGACGCTGGAATTCCCGATATTCTTCCAGCCGTCATCTGTGGAGGCACATGAAACGGACCCACCAATCGGCCGGATAGTTTTGTACCAGTGACGCCGCGCAATGAGATGAACAACAGAACGACACGGATCAGGGAAGGTTGCAGCGAATATCCTCTCATTTTGGAAGAAGTAACCTGACAAGCGATGTCGACCACACTGACGTTGAAATGATAATAAGTTGGATTGGTCTACAGAGTTGCTCGATTTGAGCGTCGCGCCTGGGTAGCTGCAAGCATTAGAAGAATGGCAATGTCGATAAGCAATGGGTAATTCTGGAAAAACCCGGGCACTGAAACAGTAGCAAATGCCGACGTCATATTAGCTGATGGCAGCGACACATGAAGCTGGGTGCGTGCCGCGTGGGTGGAGAACAGAAGCCTGAGGCTGGAAATGAGAGACTAATCAATGCGCGTCAAGCAAATAGCTTGGCCGGATGGATCAATGGTGAGGCTGTTCCTCGGGGGGACGGTCGATAAGCGAGCCGGTTCATCGCAGGAGGATGCGGAGAGCTGGAATAGCGAAATGAGTCAACAATGCAGGTCTGCTGGGCGATATGGACATAAAGGGGAGATGGGTAGACGAGGCTCAAAGCAGTCAGCAAGCTCGACTAGGCAAGCTCGAGAGGTAAATATAACAGTTGCTTTTATTGTTCGGCGTTGGGGTTGGGGCTCGAGAGATTGCAACGGCTGCGCTTTGCCTAAAGCGGATCGGATGTAACCGCATTGAAACCATTGGGTAGGAGCTCGTGCCAGGGTGGGCAGGGGTGGGGGACATGGTCAGAGGCCGCGCAATTCACGGTTGCTTGTTGTGTTTCGAGTCGGCCAGACGGTGGCAAAAGAAGAGCTTTGGATGCGCGGACATGGAGCGAAGGTGCCGCATTGCCGTTTGGTGAGCGGTTACCAGCAAACACTAAAAGGTCCGTCGACAATGGACAGAGACGTTGACGAGCAACGGATTGCTGCGGGCAGTCTAGCGGATGGTCGTCTCCTAGGGTGACGGAGCGGCGATCCAAACGCCATAGGCTGTTTGCATGTGGTGCATGTGCTGTGCATGGAGCTTATCAGGGCAGGCAGCGCGTTCAGAGCTTGAAATTGGGAGCAGCGCGCTCGGCATGTGAAGCTAAGATTTACAAGCAGCGGGAGAGAAGGGATCATGGATGGGGGAGCATGGCGAAGAAATGGTAGCCCTCGCCTGTCAAACCACACTGTGGCACTCCGCACGCGCGGGACAGGCCCTGGGTGGTGCAGTCATGGCGACACATTATGCGGGTAGCCACGAGCGTGAGCGCGACCGCGAGCACGAACAAGTGCGCTCGTCGACGACTTGCCCAGCTGTCCGTTGGCGGCAGGACAATCAGCAGCCAGGGCAGGGCAGCAGCTTTCACTGAGCGAGCTTGCTTGCTTGCTTGCTTGCTTGATCGATGATGGTGGGCACGCTCTGGCCGCCTATGATCTCCACCCGGCCCTACTAGCGTAATTAGCGCCTGCCTGGCCTGGCACCACCGCGCTCCCCTTTTCTCGCGCCGCACCCCATTTGAATGCCTTTCTGCCCTTCCTCCCTCAGTCTTCACCCACATTCGCTCGCTACAGACGAACGCGCCTTCTCCATTGCGCCTCTGGGACTACTCCGTTTAATACTGCCTGCTTTACTTGTTAATTCTTCCTCTCGCTCCAGCATCTTTCCACCACGACCAAACAGCCCGCCGAACCCACGCAACTGAAACCGAGCGAGTAGTCTTAATATCCCAGGTCCGTGTTGCCCAGTCCACATTTCTCAATCGCCTCTCTCGACGCGTCCGCTGACTTTTCCTCCCAGTTACCAACCCACGCCAACTACACAAAATGCCTTCCATGATGAAGATCGCCCTCCCTGCCCTGGCTGCTGCCAGCGGTGCCTACGGTACGCTCTACGAGACTCCATTGACTGCCTCGTTGCTTGCTAACAAGTCCGCCAGCTGCTTGCAGTACGTCTGCCACCATGACCATCCAGAACGCCGGTGACGCCAGCGCCATCGCCTCGTGCTCCACCTTCTCTGGTAACATCGCCATCGCGACTGGCACCACCGACGACATCTCCCTCAACGGCGTCAAGAAGATCGACGGCAACCTCGTTGCCACCGACAACTCCGACATGAAGCAGATCAGCGCCAGCGACCTCGAGGAGCTCGACGGAGAGATGCAGCTCGATGGCCTCACCCGTCTCTACGCTGTCAACTTCCCCAAGCTCAAGAGCGTCGACTCCATCAAGTGGAACGCTCTGCCCAACCTCCAGGAGATCGGCTTCACCGCCGAGGTCACCAAGGCCAACAAGGTCGACATCCAGAACACCGCTCTTCGCTCGCTCAAGGGCATCAACATCGAGGAGGTCGACACTGTTTTCATCGCCAACAACGGTTACATTGATGAGATCTCTATGCAGCTTGGCAACGTCTCGACCTCGCTGACTCTTGCCGACAACAACGAGGCCGTCAAGGTCGACCTACCCAACCTCATCTGGGCTAGCAACCTGACCTTCCGATTCTGTGCTTCAGTTTCAGTCCCCTCCCTCGAGCGCTTGAACGGCTCTCTCGGTCTCTACAACAACGGTTTCGAGTCATTCGCTGCTCCTAACCTTACTTCCGTCGGCGAGGCTGTTGCCCTTGTCGCCAACGAGAACCTGTCCAACGTCTCTTTCCCCATGCTCGGCAAGATCTCTGGCAACCTCCAGATCGCCAACAACTCCAAGCTCATCGAGGTGGATGGCTTCCCCGCTCTTAAGAGCATCGGCGGAGCTTTCGACATGAGCGGTAACTTCACTGAGTAAGTCTTGTTTGAATCGACTGTGTCGTGCAATTTACTGACCCTTTGTAGCGTCTCTACCCCCAAGCTCAACAGCGTTTCGGGTGCCTTCAACCTCCAGTCCACCGACAACGTCACTGAGACTTGCGCTACCTACAAGCCCCTGAAGGAGAAGAAGCTCATTGAGGGTGGCTACAAGTGCGAGGGCAAGCTCATCGACCCCGCTGGTGAGGGCCACAAGGGCACCAAGCAGGGTGGCTCCGACGACTCCACTGGCGCCGCCTCGACTCTCAGCGCCGCCACTGGTGCTCTCAGCCTTGCTGCCATGGCCGCTGTTCTCCTTTTCTAAAAAGCTCATGACGCTGGCGTTCCTTAATTGCATAGACTACCCCTACCATCTGACTTTCTTTGATAGCGTATAGCATCAAGCGAACAAGCGCTGACGTTGGAGTTCAGCATCTGAGGACTGAAGGGCTTCTGGGGACGGTTTCATGGTTCAGCATGTAACAATTGTATGTATCACTTGGCTACGAGGGTCGAGCAGACTGTTAATCCGCAGTACACTTAAGTCTGCTCCGCGACATGGAGTGCAGAATTGCAGAAGGAGTTGCTTTATTTGGGATAGTGGCATGCAGTCTTTCTCTTGAACCTTGCTCGTATTCTTTGTGATGTGTGTCCAAGTTTTGGTGCTTCGATGTTTGCCAGTTATTGTAAACTTTTGTCTACTAAAAAAAAGACTTCCTTCAACCCTCACAACAGATCAGTAGCACTGAAACATGGCCATGTCTCATATGTGACCGAGATGTTATCTTGAACGTTGTAGTCCCTTCGCCGTGATCGCCGTCTAAATATGAGTGTTTGATAGGAACACTCTAGACTCCCGGACACTCCATACAGACCTCACATCAGTTTCACCTTTGTCGAGGTCTCGACGAACCTGCAATGGCTGGCGGCTCTGCTCTGGCGGTCAAAGTCACGCATGCGAGAAGGACAGTCCCATAAAGGCTCAAATCAAGGCTTGTCATGGCGAGTAGCTGCTTTCCAGGCGTCCCGAGGCGTATCACATGCGTGGTAAGACGGAAAGCGGGCTCTAACGTGCGGGCCGCAGTGGCTAAGTTCGTATAACAGATGACGTGGGTAAACAAATGGGCCTCTTTTGTAAATATCACAGACTGCCCAAGGCCAATCACGCTGCAATGATCCCATGTACCGGCGGCCTGTATAATGCAGCCTCGCTCTTGACAACCGCGGCGCAATAGATGTTGATGTTACCGATCCATGTTTTCACGTGCGCATTTTAGGATGCAGGTGGTGTCGCGCATTGGACGCAAGACAACTTGCCAGAGTACACCAAGCAGTAATAGTGGCCAGAGAAGCATTGTTGCCGGCTCACCAAGTCTTTCGGCGAATTATGAAAGAATCACAGACTACTTTATTTCCGAAGCGTCGTCATCAGCGGCACTATCGCGATTGATCTGCACTTAGCGTCATTTGCATGCTCGTCGCGCTCAACGGTAATCTGTACTGAACGAGTTGCTCCTGTAACGCAATTGCGCCTCTCCTTCACCCCATCGCTGCTTTCCTGCTCTGTACCACCGTGCAGCCAGTCAGGACCCTGCTTTCACTAGTCATTACTGTCTGTCGCTTCCGCTCTTGCTAGCCCGCCTTCGCTGCGACGTCACCCGCAACATTTAGTTCCCACCCTAAACGTCGCGCGCCCCGGCGCTCCCAACCGCCAAACTGGAGAGGCCACAGTCGCAATCGCCGCCGCTTCATTCACAGAGGGAAACCAGTAATACGGACAGCGTCCGAGCGCGTAGCTCATCGATACGCATATCTCAGGCTAGAGGGGAAGAGGTGGAGAAAGAACACGCGGGACCATTCCGACTCAACATGCTTGCAGGAAAAGGATACTCGTGGAAGGCCGCTAAAGCACGGCTGCCACCATCACGGCAGGTCATACACACAGTGCGGAACCCAAGGTTTCTGGTGTCAGTCGGTCTGGTTGCCGCGATTTTGCTGCTATGGCGGTCAATGGGGTCCGCAGCACAAGAGGTGCAGAGGTATGTCACACGATTCGTATTTACAGAGCTCCAGCAGAGGCCTCGTCATGATTCGCATCGTGCTGATGCTAATCTTCTCATACCAGATTCTACTGCTTCGGCCCCTCAAAACCTCCAATGCACATGACAGCGAACGAGAACGAAGACTGGCATGCGCATCTAAACACACCTGTGATATTCAACCACCACAAGCCAGTAGAGGTCAATTCCACCGATATTGAGCATGTAGACCTAAACAAGATCACATCGACCGTTGATGCAGCGAAGAACAAGGAGCGCGTCCTGATCCTTACTCCGCTTCGCGATGCCTCATACTACCTTGCGAAACACTTCGACCTCCTCACCTCGCTCACTTATCCCCACGAGCTGATCGATTTGGCTTTTTTGGTCGGCGATTCGACCGACGATACTATGGCTGCGTTGGCAAAGGAGCTGGAGAGAGTGCAAAACAACCCTGAAGTTGCTTTCAGGTCGACGATGATCATTGAGAAGGACTTTGGTGTCACACTCTCGCAAAGTGTCGAGGACAGACATAGCTTCGAAGCACAAGGCCCGCGGAGAAAGGCACTAGGTAAAGCCAGGAACTACCTGCTATACACTGCGTTGAAACCAGAGCACAGCTGGGTTTACTGGAGGGATGTGGACATTGTCGATAGTCCGTCCAAGATCATCGAGGACTTCGTGGCACATGACCGGGATGTCCTTGTCCCTAGTATGTGTTGCAATACCATCTTGGGGCGCTAGCGCTAACAATACACAGATATCTGGTTCCACCGCTACAAGGAGGAGAACGGCAAGATGGTCGATATCGAAGGGCGCTGTAGGTTTTCCATAACTTAGCACTACGGTCTTCACTAACGGGATTCAGTCGATTACAATTCCTGGCAGGAATCTCCCGAAGGTCTCAAACTCGCTTCCACCCTCAACAAAGATGTAGTCCTTGCAGAAGGTATCACTCTCTTCATCTCCCTCCCCACTATTTCCATTCGTTAATTCATCTTTATAGGCTATAAACAATACCCCACGAACCGCAAGTACATGGCCAAGATGGGCGATTGGCGCGCCGACAAGGATGAAGAAATACCCCTAGACGGCATCGGTGGCGTTAACATCATTGTAAAAGCAGACGTGCACCGTTCTGGCATAAACTTCCCAAGCTACGCATTTGAAAACCAGGCCGAGACAGAAGGGTTTGCGAAGATGGCTAAGAGAGCAGGCTATGGCGTTTATGGGTTACCGAATTATGTCGTATGGCATATCGATACCGATGAAAAACCTGGCAATGCTTAGTTGGGAGAGGAGAGTGAGGTAGGACAAGTGAAGGAGAGTATATACCTTGGAGTCGGGCGCACCTCGCATTAGAAACATGGTTTAGTTGCAGGCGAATCTTGGAGTCTCTTTTAGATGGGTGGATATGTAATACTTTGTACGAGTATGAGTATAGAGACCGCGGCGCAGCTGCCCTTAGACGATACGATAACGATCTCCTGTTTGCAACCATACAAGGTTCCATCCCCTGACATTGTCGTATAAACAAGCCAGCGTGTAGGTCGCGTTAAAGACAAGATACATTGATGTGATGGAATCATGGTGGACGCACAGTATTACGTGGGCTCCGTATCTTATGGTGGTTGATTCCAGGTGCATAGTATAGGCTTCTAGTATATCACCCTCCTTGAACCATACCGTTGTACACGTCTTCCCCCTCAAGCATATCTGAATCGTGACAGACGTGCCACTTCCTTCAACTTCTCGTCCCTTGCCATATTCTATGTCTCCAAGCACACCAATCATAAAGTCGAACACCCCGATAGTTCTTCAAACGCTAATAACCAAAGCACGCGCACTCAACCGCACGACAACAGTAGGAGTGGATCCTAGTGATCGTAAATGCCAGAGTGAAACTTGCGCTCGTCGTAGAACTTGGCAGTGATCTTCCTGCCTCTGAATTCCCATCCTTCATCGAAGCGGTTGACGGCGTTGAGGGCACTGAGAACTGACTGGAAGTGGATATAAACTACGCCGTCCTGGTTGTTCTCGTCTAATTGAACATGCTCAACTGGACCAAACTGGTTCTGTTAGCATGTGTACCTTCGTAACTTTGGAATGGAATTTACCTTGTTGCTGAACGCTTCACCCATGTCTTGTCGGATACCACCGTCGTTGCGTTCGGCATTGGCATCCCAGTCGACACCGTCCACACAGCCCCAAGTGACCACAACAGCGGACTCCGCACCAAACTTGCCAGGCTCGTCTTTCTGAGTGCGCATACCACCACTGACATCCCAGACCTGTTGTGACTTGACCTTGCCGTTTTCGTCGTCGAGAGTGCTTGCACCCTGTGGAACCTTGCGTTTTTTCACTTCTAGATGGGTAATAACACCATCGTTGTTCTTTCCGAGACCTTGGCCCTTCTTATAACCCATTTTGGCCATCATTGCTTCCGCCTTGCTAATCTTAGCGCGCTTGGCAGGGCGTTCTTCGCGGGATGGCTCGTTGTCTGCATCTTCCATTTGAACGTCGGAGCGCTCGAACCGGACTGGTGGTGCAGATATAGTCGCATTTGCATAGCGTACCGGTGGTGCAGAGATAGTCGCACCTTGATAGCTCGGCGGAGGTGGGGGCGGAGGGTTATCGTCGGTGACTGATGGAGGCGGAGGCGGTACGACATCAGGCTGTTGCTGGGATAGGCGCATGCGACGGGCATAAGCGTCTTCTCCCAACAGGTCAGACGAGGGAATTGCAGAGCTATCTTCGTAAGATGCAGGCGGGGCGAAAGACGGTTTGGTAAACGTAGCAGGTATTGGGCTCGAAGAAGACGCTGAATGGGAACCGTTGGTCTCCTCACTGTCGTCACGAGACTTGTACTGGGCGGCAGCTCCCCGTAAGAAAGCTGTGAAGCCTTCCTTCTTGCGCCGGTAGCCGCCACTGGCCTTGTATGCTCGAAGGTTGGAGTACCGCTCGGGTTTGTGGGGAGCTTGAGGGTTCCACTGTCCGAATATCTTGTTGAACTTCTTCTGCTCTTTCTTCCTTTGCTTCTCCTCATAATTGCGGATCCTCTTTTCTTCCATAATCGACAAGTCGTCCTCTACGGTGCTGCGATAATAGTCGATGCCATGCTGCTGGTTGTTGGCCGGACCAGAACCCGAAGAAGAGAGGGGTGCAGCTACAGGCATGGTGGCCTTCTTGATGGTTGGGCCAGCTTTCTTGGCCTGGGGACGCTTGATATTGTGTGGGTTATGGAAAGCTACACAATCACATGAGTGATGCTTCAGGACAATGGTACGGAGCAGTTCAGATAGATACCAGGTGCTTTCTTCTGTTGCTCGGCCTTGGCCTGTTCCTCTGTATATTTGACAGGCGCAGCGGAGATGGTAGCCGAAGCATACGGATTTGGAAGGCCTTTCTGGGCGTAGGGGTTTGGAAGACCATAGGGGTTGGGCAGGCCTTGCGCCTTCTGCGGCTGCTGAGACGCCATGCTAATATCGATGTGCGCGCAGGCGCGACTTGGGGTAATGCGAATGTGGCTGCCCACGTCACTAGGTGGATGGCGGCGGGGGAAGCTAGAGTGCAGAAAAATGGCTAGATTAGTAACTGTTTTGTGGATGCACAGTACATGGAGCAGAGGCGGCGGTTGAGGTTTGTGGTTGTGGTCGTAAGGCTGTTGTGAGGGTGGTGGAGTGGCAGGCGCAATGTCAAAGGCCCGCCAAGCACCCCAGCCCGCGTGTCGGCGTCGGTTCCCCACGCTAAGGCGTTAGCCGCATTACGTGTGCATACATGCAGGAACGCCCATTGCTATCCTGTCATACCAAATCCTTATCCTTGATAAGTCATTTCCATATCTCTTGATACATCTGAGCAGGCTCCGGTGTCCGCATTAGACCTTAGATTTTCCTTGCGCGTCATAGAAGCATCAAGGTACCATGGCCCTGAACCCCAGCGTTATAAGTGTCCATCTAATTGCAACCGCCAGATCCCCTATCTAGTAATCATCATGTCTCCAACCACTTTAGAACACGCCTTCTCCAAGGACTCGACATCGACCGCTGTCATCGTCCCCGGCAGCCCTGCCTTGACTGTCACGTACAAGAAGCTTGCCACCGACGTGAAGGCTTTCCAACAACAATTGGCAAAGGTCGGCGTTTCTGCCGAGGCAGCTGTGTCCATCGCACTGCCCAACACGTATGAGTTCATCGTGTCCTTCATCGCTGCATCATGGCAGAGAGCTATCGCAGCGCCACTGAACCCGGCATACAAGCAATCCGAGTTCGAGTTCTACATCGACGACCTGAGCTCAGCAATTGCTCTGGTACCAAAGGGTGCATTTGCGCAAGATGCGGCAGCTGTCCGCGCAGCAAGGAAATACAATGCCGCCATCGCCGAATGCTACTACAATGGCAGTGAGGTCGTCCTGGATGTGAAGGAGGCTGGAAAGCTTGCGGGTAAAACCGCGCCCGTCCAGTCTGCGCAGCCCGACGATGTCGCTCTCGTGCTGCACACGAGCGGTACTACTGGACGACCCAAGGCTGTACCCCTGACGCATCGCAATTTGTTGCGCACCATGAAGAACATCCAGGGAACCTATGAGTTAACACCCAACGATCGTACCATGCTGGTTATGCCTCTCTTTCACGTGCACGGTTTGCTCGCTGGGTTCCTGGCTCCCTTGGCGTCGGGAGGCTCAGTCATTGTGCCGCCCAAGTTCTCCGCCTCCGAGTTCTGGAAAGACTTCAATGAGCACAAGGCAAACTGGTATACCGCCGTCCCTACCATTCACCAGATTCTGCTGAAGAGTCCCCTTCCGAGCCCAATGCCCAAAATCCGCTTTATCCGATCTTGTTCCAGTCCCCTTTCGCCCAAAACGTTCCACGAACTTGAGAAGGCGTTCGGGGCCCCAGTGTTGGAGGCATACGCCATGACAGAGGCTGCGCATCAGATGACTAGTAATCCTCTTCCTCCCAACCAACGTAAGCCCGGCAGTGTGGGACTTGGCCAGGGTGTCGAAGTCAAGATCCTTGACGATGCTGGCAAGGAGGTACCACAAGGAAGAGAGGCAGAGATTTGTATCCGTGGTGAAAACGTCACCAAGGGATATCTCAATAACCCAGCTGCCAACGCCTCATCTTTCACCAAAGACGGTTTCTTCCGTACCGGAGATCAGGGCAAGCAGGATGCTGAAGGATATGTCATCATTACTGGTCGCATCAAGGAGCTGATCAACAAAGGTGGTGAGAAAATTAGCCCGATCGAACTGGACAACGTCATTGCACAGAATCCCGCAGTGTCTGAAGCCGTGAGCTTCGCCATCGAAGACGAGATGTATGGCCAAGATGTTGGTCTTGCGGTCGTGGTCAAAGAGGGCCATGCGCTGACTGCGGGAGAGCTGAAGACATGGCTGACGGACCGCGTTGCTAAATTTAAGCTACCGAAAAAGGTATGTCGACGTCCAATCGAACCCAGCGGTGTGATACATAATCTAACAAATGGCAGATCTTCTTCACCGATATCATGTACGTCAACAACAACAACAACAACAACAACAACAACGCAGATGAAACATGCACTGACTACGCACTTACAGGCCCAAGACCGCAACAGGAAAGATCCAGCGACGCCTTGTTGCCGAAGCGATGCTCAAGCAAGAACAGCCCAAGGCCAAACTATAGACACTTTACTAGAACTATTCCAAATTGCCATGTGCCATACAATTATACCATTCCGGGACAACCGACAGTCTCTTGGCCTAGATGTAACATACTTGTTCGACATCTCGTCGCGTGGATAGATTGGACAGAGCGATGTCAGATTTCCCCTCTATGTCTTTCGCCCCTCTCCAAAATTGCGTGAATCTGTCAACCTTACTCAAACTATCTTTCACGGTGCGGGGGCGGTGCGCGTGTATTGTTCCCAATAAGATAGCGTGTTCGCGAGGCCGACTGGGACTGGACTTCGCCTCTCTCGCCGCTGCGGATCTCATCCATAACCCTTCAAACTCAACAATGTAAGATCCTTGGATACACAAATCTCATTCTGACTCTACAGAGCAATGATGCGGCTGGTGAGTGTTCAATAGTATAGGCGCGACGTGTTAGGCGGCGTCTGTCAACGCAGATAAATAGGCTGAGTCCGCAGCACCTTTCCGACACAAATGCTGTGTTTCTTCGTTTTTGTTTGCTTTCCCATCTGCGGAATACTTTTAAACGACTCAACCGCTTTGAAGCAGGCTGTACTGCCCCTATCTTGATTCGTACTTTTCCCGATGTTTACTTTTCAACCGCCTGTCTGCACTACTCACGTCGCCCTCTAACTTTTCATCTGACCACTCCGGAGACTACTGTTTTCCTCCTGGACCACAGGATGTCCACTAGATCTCCTTTTCGTCCCATCGATAAGCCCTGCATGTAAGGCTCGATTTGGCAGGTTGCTGGCATCATCCCTGCCCGTCATGTCTCAGGTTATACATCTAGGGACTGGCACTATGCGACCCACCCAGCAATCAAAGAGTACACAAAACTCGACAGCCAGCCATATTCCCTTGGTCAGCACTTCAACGAGTCGCTCCCCAACAGTCACTACCGATACTCCAACAATAGCAGACCTAATATCTCCTAATATGCCTTCCGTCGATACAGCTTCCAGCGCCCCCTCAACACCACGCTCGTCTCAATCGTCGTTGAATGATCAATACAACACATCGCCATCTTCCACCTCATCACCACTGAGACCTCAAAGATCGAGCCTAAAGCCCAGTCTTAAATCTTCCGAATCGGTGACTATGATCTCTAATAGAAGATCGTCACCACCGGCGGTGCGGTTCGCGGAGCCAGATCCTCTGCCAAAGCCACAGACCTGGCCAAGAGCAAGACCGAAGACTATTCAGCTACCAGAACCTTTGGTCAACAAGATACCGAATCCTCTCACAAAGGCTCAATATCATCATATACCATCGTTTACAAGTCCAACTGCGACCTTGATGGAACAGATCGATAACTTCCAAGCGTGGGGAACACCAATATCGCCAACTCCCAAACGCCCAGTCTCTCTTCCCGTACGTTCAGCTGGATCGCTTAAGGTTGTTAGGAAAAGAGTAAGCAGTCTCAAAGCCAGATCGACTTCTTGTCAAGAGCCCGATTCAAGATGGGAAGGAATTCCACTACCAGCCCATTTTACACCGCCAAACGTAGGCTTGAAGTCACGAGTGGCTTCCTACCAGTCTACCAAGTCCACCAAGTCCATCAGGTCTACCAGGTCTACCAAGTCCACCAACCTACGTATCTCCACTCAGTCGGCTCCAGTGGTCTTAGAGCCTTTGGTGTCCTCGCCGCCAGGTCAATACAACCCTCTAGACCACTACATACCTTGCCTATATCCTTCATGTACCTTGCATTATACGCCTGCTCGTACGGGATCGAATTACTACCTCCCTCAGAGCCCGTATAACATGTCCCGTCTTCACGGCTACTGCCCACGCCATGCCAACCAAGATTTGAATCAGGCCAACGTATCGTGCAAGCGCGAGTACGAGAATCTACGTCAGAGCGCCGGGCGGAAGACCCTGGGCGTCATAGCTGCAGAGTTTGAAATACTGAAAGAGGGCTTCAGACGAGAACGCCGACACAAGGATGCCGCACTAGTACAAGAGCAAAAGCAAAGAGTGTTGGGTGTCCGTCCGATATCCCTAAATCAGAAAAGTAATGGGACAAAAGGAAAACCAGGAGCCCAAGAAGATGCATGGGATTGGCGCTATACACTCCGTCCTTGCACATCTTCACACTGCAAAGCCTACTACACACCTTATTCGAACCATTACACCTACTACCGTACACCGATTTCTGGCTTTCTTCCACAGGAGACTCTTTGCTCTGCTTGCGCGAAGACCGAGCTTGAAGGCTTTGTTGAGAAGATCAAAGAGAAATGGGGGAGTAGGTGTGGGTGGGATCATAAGGAATGGCACGACTGGTACGCCAATGCTTGTAATGATCGCACTATGGAGCAAGAATATTGGATCAAGGCACAAGAAAAATGCGTTAGAGAGAGGGGGCCTCCAAAATGGGTTGGCAGATTGAGGGATAGTGCTGTAGTGGAGGAGGATGCTATCGAACTGAAGAGAGAGAGGAAGAGCCTGATGAGGAAGTGGTTTGGGAGCATGTCTGCGTAACGTGATATCTTGTCAGTAGGGTATAATGATAACCGGGCTTGAGTTTGGATCGAGGCGTAGTTCATAAGCATGCCAATTGGCATTATGTTCCCCCAGAATTTACATAAGAATAGTACCGTAGCCATACATCCAGGGATATCTCTGCCTTGTCTTGGCACCAATACGCACTCTGTTGCAGTAGATTAGAGGAACGACCTGAAAGCGATGTGCAACTATGAACGTGTAATGATGGTATGTTGTTCGATTTGAATCAAGTCGAGTCAGTTGGCTGAGGGTCTTGACATCTAGTGCGGGTCGCGAAGATACTTGGGTTGGCCAGTCGCCTAACCTCATGCTCAGCAGATGCACACAAATGTTGGTAATAGACATTATACGTATCGCCCAAAATCATACTCTCCAAAGGGAGGATACGTCGCATACTCCGACAGATTCCCTTGCCATAGATATGAAACATGGTTCCGAGCAGTTCATGTCCTCCCCTGCACTATTCTTTGAGTGGCTTGGAACACATCCTTCTCAGCTCTTATTTCACTCCCAATGCATAGGTCAGAGGTGATCCATATCCTCGTCGACCAGAAGTACATGCATCAGCTGCCAGAAACCTCCCAAAGGAAATTACCCCATCATAGCTCAATACTTTCACATATTCTCTCCAGCTATTACGACAACAGATACGTCAGTACTTGTTTGCGACTGGTTTATGAAGCTTCAGAGATGGTACTGGATAGTTTTGGGATGTTCTCTATGAGAAGGTACGCAAGTACAACCAGTGGGTGCGTTGATGCTGGTATAGGTGAGAGAGAATATTAACCGAATTCGAGTCAGGAGTCCCAAGACAGTTGTGAGGCTTGTGGAGATATTGAAGAAACAAGAGCTTTCGATTGAGTAATTTACGACATGTTACGTAGGTCTGGAACAACCTGATGAGCGAGTGTCTCTTCCAGATTGTTCGATCGCTAGATTTGGTCTTCGGCTCAGTGTACAAGCCAAGGCTTCCCAATAATATCCACCGTGTTCCGGCGAGAAGAGTAGGAGATGATTTCGGTCTATGGCCAGCACATATACTTAGTGAAAAGCAAAGTAACTGTGTTTCTAAACTGCGAAGCAGCCGTGGGTATCTCAATAGTACAGAAAGCTCGTCAATCGTAGGTACAATACTGTTTTGATAACAAAAGACGAAAGCTTACAAACTTAACCTATAGTCTCTTACAAATCTAAACCAGAAGCGCATCCGTATCGCAGTTTTCGACCTGCTTTTGCCCCATAAATCGTATAAAAGGATACCGAGACACTTTTCTGGGCCACTCAACGTGGTGCCTCAAATGACATGGTACATTCCAATATATCCCTTCGATCCAGCCCAGCACCGCAGTCGGGGCATGTACACCCTGAAAGTCGACTCTTTCAAGATAAAGAATTGGTGTAAGGATAGCTTGGATCGCGATGAAGTGAGCCAGGAGAATTTGTGCAACGCTGTTATTGGGATCTATGAAGGCTTGAAACTCATCATGGGTCCAGTGGGATGGCGTGTTGTAGAGCATGACGAAGGTGGTGTATGTCTCTACCGGACTGTCATATGCATGACTGACTGTGCATACTAGTATTTCCCAATATGAAAGCTCCCAGTCCGACATGCTTAGAGCCTTGATGAGGTTGAGAGATAACGCGGCCATGTTGAGATCTTCGTGGTTAACGCAAGTCAGCGGCGACGTCCCGACGCGCATTCGCATTGTGTGGAGGTGGCCATCGTCACGGAATGCCTATATATCGTCAGTATGAGCTTCGGAACCATTCAATACGAGTGTATTTACACTGAAGATTGAGTCATCTCTCAACGACGTCTCGTCGCCTCCAATTAGATTGCACCCACGGACCATCGTGAGGAATTCTGCCATACCATCCTGTAAGTGGCTTGATTGGAAAGCAAGTGCTAGGGCTGCGGCCATTCTTGCATCTCGTTCGCAACTGGTCTTTGGAGGTGCCGAGAGGGCTTCATTGAGAGACTTCATAGCTAAGATTCTATGCTGTATGGCCTGTTCGGCTACACCGGAATGCGTAACAGCATCCAAGTGCGACGCGGCTAGCGCTAGGATCGAGTGCATGAGGTACTCATACTGAAATATTCAGCACTTCGGTTACCTCTTGGAGGTGTGGAGGAAAGTACATACCATGTGTGCAAAGCCAGGAATCGCTGTGATCCAGATCTTGTCGGCTCCAACAGGGAGGTGCGGGTAGGCTGTAATGAGAAAATGATGGAACAAACGCATATCCGCCATAGACTTCGATTGTTAGGTGTTGTGATGTTGAATGTAAGCCCAAGAATACACTCACGAAAATACCCAACGCTGATCGCGGGTTGCCTACTTCCTGAGCCTGTGGCGATGGTCGAGGTCGCTGCATCGCTTGAATGATGTTTGCTGGATACTCGCACTGCAATCCCGCCTTGATACAATGGCTGCATTCAGGGTGCCTTTCGTTGCATTTGATCCTTCTGTGCTAGTGTCAGAACGTATGTACACACACATACATACACCTGCGCTTGATCTTCTCCAAAAGTACCTCTTCTTGCAGTTGAAACAACCACGGCGTGACTTGGTATGTCCCTTCCTTGGAATTGGTTTGCGAGGCAGTGGCGGCGCACCCCCATTTCCGCCGTCCGACAAAGTTGGCGAGTCACTTGAAGAGCTTTCGACCACACCACCGCGATCTTGAGGCGACGACATTAACAATAAAGATACCAGAGGTACAAGAAAGATTTAGCATGTGCAATTCGCGGGTACGCTTCCCCTGTAGCAGTATATATTCTGCTGTGCTATGCAATAGCCCCTAGATATGAACTACGAGATCTGGGGGCTTAGACTGTGAGCGTGAAGCGACCCCGCGGATGGGGGTGGTTCATGTTAATCAGGGGACGCCAGGTGTACGGCTGAGCCCTAGCTGGCTTGCAGCACTATACTGTAAAACAAACAGCTCCGACTAATAGGATTACGATCTCGCTTAAGAGCTCGATGACCGAGGCCTCCAAAAGGATCTAGCATGCTAGGGCTCCAGATGTCTCCGGTTACTAGCCCGCTCACCGGTATGCAACCATACCGTTGGATGGCTTTGAGGGCTGTGTTACTCTCATGCGTTAACCTGTTGAGCATCTGTGATATGCAACCACTGCGGGCATACTTGCGAGCGCAAATCATAAATCGACAGACAACTTCGCCTTGATGGCCTCCAGGCCATCCCGGTTGCGTCGAGATGGCGTCGCAGGACCACCACTAGAATGCGACAACATATAAATATGGCTTTCACTGTTGCCTGTAGATGTTTGACAGACTATTTTTGCATCACGAGATGGGGACAAGCATTACAAGAGAGATCTGCGCTGATAGGTTGGCTTCTTGCTGTCGGCGTCCAAAAGACCGGTTATTGGAAGGGCCCAGAAGATTGCATGGTGTCGCCTTGACTCACCAAGCAAACGTGTACCAGGATACCTATTAACAATCGTTGGAGCTGCATGCAACTATCTCTGAGAGGTGATGTAACGCAGTGGCCACGGTAGTCGAAGAGGCGGACTGAGAGTCCGTGGGAGACCAATAGAATGGTATCGATCAACCGAGGCAGGAAGGTTTCGCGTAATCTTGTTGTCTGTAGCATGCGAGGCGTACCAGGCACAAATGATGTTCAGGCAGCGAATATGCCAAAGGAAACGCTGGCTGGCCTTAAGCTAATCGCACAGCGGACAGTGGAATGCCAAGGCGCTATCAAAGCGACCATATTGGCGGCCGTCGTTCCAGGTTTCTCCCGAGTGCCGTCCCCGCCGTGCTCCTCTTCTTACATGGTTCCCCTTTACGAGGTTGGTCCACGGCACAAAGTTTTGCGTTATCCACATTCATGGTGAAGCATGGCGGTCCTCGAAATCATCCAACTGCGTCTCAGGAAGGTGGCGGCAGACGATCCAGCACTGATACAAAGCCTGTCATCCGTCCGAGAAAAGCTGCGTACAAATTCACAGTTCTACAATTGCGTCAAGGACCCCGCTTTGATCTACATTCTAGGCATATGGCCAAATTTGGATGCGCACCAAAAATTCCTGGATTCTCCAGCTCGAGACGAGGTTCTTGGCCCCCAAGAAGACATGCTTCAATTCTGTTGGACTATGCACGTGGAATTAGATGGCATGCACACACTTCCTCTAGAGGCCCCGATACTGGCAATAGAAAGGCTTATTTTTAAGAAAGAATGCATGGAGTCTGTCGAGAAGGTCGTCGCCAGATATACGCAACAGCTTCAAAGAATGAATTCGTTCAAAACGGTATACGGCTGGCGATGTGATGCCGCACAAGAAACGCACGAAGCCCTCGTGTTCACTGGACATGGGAATGCACAAATTCACAGCACCTTCGCAGCAAAGGGAATTGATGACAACAATACCGCCATGTTGAACGAACAATTCGAAACTGTGCAAATCATACTTGGTAGAAATTTGGAGCGGAAAGACATTGGAATTTAACACTTCGAGATGGATGTCTTTCTGCTTGAGTTCTGCAATTGTTCACTTCTCACATGAGTGGTAGGGTCTTCCAATACTGCCAAGGTGGCAAAGGAACTTAAAGATCATGTCTGGTTGAAAAAGCACAACCGTGTCTGTTGTTTCTCCAAGGGTCCGGCTAGCCGGGTACACGACCCGGACAAGACTAGCTAGCCTATGGATCGCTGGGCTCCAAACCATGCATCGAAGATTATGCTCCATACGAGAAACCACTCCTTTCAGAACCAGCAATAGAGCCTGTAGTAAGCACACCTGAAATTACGATTGCATACCCACCGGCATGTTCTTACATCTTTCGGTGGTATCCATTTTAGGACAATGGTCTTGGACTCGACACACAACCAATGGGATTCGTGTGCACTTTTCTTATTGCCGTATAAGACCTACGGGTGCTGTGGTTGCTTCGTAAGTTGCACAGCAGTACAAGAAGCCGGTTGTGGGGCAGGCAGCACGGGGCGTG